CGTTCTCCAATTCCTGCTCATAAGGCTACAATTTTAGTAATCTACAGTTGTAAAATTCTCTAATTCTATGATTATGACCTTTTTAGACTTGCAACATTCTAAACCTCCCGTTCTCCTCTTCCCTGTGCTTCCTGTCCTTAGTGCCTCTTTGATTACACGATTGTAACATTCTGTAATTCCATGATTATAACCTTTCCAGGCCCGTAACATTCTAGTGTTCCTGCCTGACTGCGACTGCAACACTGCTGGAACGGGTGGGGAGATTCAATCCCACGCCCTAGCCCTGGGCTGAGCTCACAGAAAAGGTCTTGGGCTTTCTCCCACGGCCGGGGCCCTCTGGCCTCTGCCTGCCAGGACCAGATGGCTCAGCTGAATGAATGGTCACCAGGGCAGAGATGAAGCGGCCTCAGGAGCCCCAGGTGAGTGGTGGGTAGGTGGGGGTGAGGGTCCCCTGGCTGCTGCTGCCGCCTCGTCTATGGAGAGGCACGGACCCTGTCCCCAAGCCTCGCATTAGAAACTGTGGAATTGCCAATGTGGTCCCCAAACCCCTGTGGGGTTCAGACCCTGGCAGTATCCTAGCTCTAAGTGCTGACACGAGACCCAGAACAAACCAGACCTCAGCAGCTGCCTCACCCTAGCTGGGGCTGAGCGAGGTCTCCTGCGATGAAAGGTTGGTCTTCACCTGGACGCTGTCAAAAGTGGTCTCTTTCTTGAGTTCTGACCGTGGATCCCTGTATCTTAGTTCTGGCGCTGGCTCTGGAGTGTCTCCATGAGTCCTGGGTCTGAGCTGTGGCCCCAGCCATGGTGAAGTCCCCCAGTTCAAGGGCAAGGGGCTACACAACCTTTGGGTCCCTTTCTGCAGTAGTCCATGCTCTGAATAAGCTATTTTCTGGGGGGTGAAAAGGCCCTGACTTTGGAATTAGGTTTACTTCCATGCTTGGTCTGCACGAGCCACTCTGTGCTCAGGCGTGAGGGTGTCAAGGCTCTGGCCTGGGAGCCCTGGTACTTTATCACCATGTCACTGACACCAGCTGGTTTTATTGAGCACCTGCTATGTCTGAGGCATTTTACATGGATTCCCGCAATGAAGTCCTCATAGTCACCCCATACAAAATCAGAACATCAAGAAATGTGGTCCAAAAGTGCCAGCTACTAACTTAGGAGCTGGGCTACACCTAACTTGATGGACAGCAGTCACAACTGTGTGGCAGTCTCTGTGGCAGTAGGACCTGTAAGTTCACTGGCTAAGACGGCTGGGGACACTGTTCAGACTGCAGAAGAGGGGTGCTCTTCCTGTAGGCTCCTGCTGTGAGCCCAGAGAATCTAGGTCCTGCCATGGACACAGACAACACAGGGCTGGACACAGGATCCCGGGTGGGGGAGGGGAGCAGACAGAGCCCAGAGCTTCGAAGTCTCCTTTCACAGGAATCCTGTGCTCCAGTGGGGAGGGAAGGGGGTAGGAGCTCTGAATTCCTCACTCATTGACTAAGAATTTCAGGAAAAACTGGTTTGGTTCAGCTGGACTGAAGGCAAAGATCAAATGGAGGTCAAAGCAGGGGGAGGCACAAAGAATTGGCCTCAGTTCACAAATCCTCCCTGGGTTCAGAGATGGGCCAGGAATGGACAGAGCATTGGAAGAACTCGGTGCTGGGGAAGCAGCTGGACAGTGAAAGGGAAGGGAAGGGAGAGGAGGGGAGAGGAGGGGAGAGGAGGGGAGGGGAGGGAGGAGGGGAGGGGAGGGAAAGGGAGGGGAGGGGAGTGAGGAGGGGAGGGGAGGGGAGGGGAGGGGAGGGAAGGGGAGGGGAAAGGAGGGGAGGAGGGGAGAGGAGGAGGAGGGAGGGGAGGGGAGGGGGAGGGGAAGTAGGGGAGGGAGGGGAGGGGAGAGGAGGAGAGGGGAGGGGAGGGAGAGAGGGAGGGGAGGGAAGAGGAGGGGAGGGAGGGCTGTTTCTCTGGCTCTTCCCTTGCTGCTGTGGACTGTGAGGCTGGGACACCTTCCTGCTGGGAAAAGGATGCTGCTTTAGGACTGGTCAAAGGAGATTGTTTGTATCGGCATCAAAATCAAAACCAGAAAATGAAATTCTCTTAGAACTCCTGGACCCCTCCCCGTCCTGGAGTTGGGGGGCCTGTTTGAGAAAATAGGAAATACAGCCTGGGAGCTGACGCCACAAAGAAACTTGAGCGTACTCCGGAAAGCCAAGGCCACAGGAGAGGCTGGCCCCTTTTCTAAGGTCCCCGTGCCTCACATCAGCAGCACCTGCTGGGGGAGACCTGCCTGCAGGTCTGGCGGGAGACAGCAGCCTTGTCACAGAACCCTAACCCTAATCCCGCCATCAAGCCACTGGCCTACTCACTGCCGAGCCCTGGGCTGCAGTGTGACCCTCTGGGCGCCGCCACACTCTCTGGCCTCAGCCTTCAGCCCGCCCTGCACTCCTGGCTCCCAGCCACTCTGGACCCAGGGGTCCTGGTGCAGCCCTGAGCCCCTCTTTCCCCTGTCGCTTGCCACCAGCCAGCCTCTTCTCAGATGACCCTCATTTGTCTAACTTTCTCAGCAGATGGTTCTCTGGCGCCTGGCAGGGATGGGCATTTGGTTTCCCACCTGCAGCAGGGCCTTGTAACCAAAGCAGCCTCAGCCTCCCCGGGTTCCTCCTTTGCCTAGCAAAAGGCAGAGACTGTGCCTGGCCCCCAGGTGGCCCTAGAGTTCAGCTCCCACCTGGTTCTCCTGCTGCAGGTGTGGGGTGTTCTGAGCTGCTACACATCCAACCTCTACCCCTGTCAGAGCATGAGGCCTCTGGAAACTGGGCATGCTTGAATCTGGGCCCAACACAGGCTTTCCACCAGCCTTCTCCACTCTGGCCCAAAGGTGACCACCACTGGGTCTCTTCTGGCCTTATGGGGACCATGCATGCAGATCACCCCTGAAAAACTGCATCTCCGCCTGTAGCAAGTATCAATTCTACAATTTCTGCCCTACTTCACAATGAACCAGAGAGGCCAAGTGCTTCTCCTAAGGTCACACAGCTAGGATGTGCCACAACTAGGCAGAATCTGGGTGTTTCTGAACCAGAGTCCATGTCCAGAAGCCTGGGCAGCTTACGGGGTGTGCCTGAGACTGAGGTGCAGTCACACATGTTCTCCTGACTTATGAACGTTCTGGCAGCTTACGGCTACCTGAGAACAGTTCTAAAGAGGGAGAAGAAGGTGTCCCATCATGAAGTTTTCTGCCCCCAGCACTGGGGAGAGCCCGGCTCTTGGTTACCACCTCTGCCCACCCCTGGCCACCTGGCAATGCCCCTGGGAAGCTGGCCCTGGTCGGCCCACCCTGCCCTGGCCACAGGCGCCCTGGGACGAATGCTCACAGGGCTGCCATCCCAGGCTGGAGCTGAAAATTAAATTAAAACCACGACAGGGACAGTTAATTAAAGCAGATTAGCGCGAGACTAATTAGGGACACTGACACTGGAACCATCGCACTCCAAGATGTTAATTAGCTGTTCATTAATGTCAGCTCCCCGTTCAAGAGAGAAATATGAACAGCCTTCTTCTCTGAGCTTCCTTCCAGAGCTGGGTAAACAGGGTGGCGGCCTGGGGCAGCCCAGCCCCCTCCAGCTCCCTCCCCCGTCCTTCCCTCTGCCCTGGAGTCTGCCCATGTCCTTTGTCTCCCTCTGTGCCAGTGTCTGAGCCTGGCCACTGCCAGCGAGAACTTGGACTCATGGGAAGGGGCACAGCTGGGCCCAACACGCAGAAGCTCTGGAGGAAGGTGATGAATCTGCTCCACTGTCACCTTGAGCCCTGGGCACTCTCTGCCCTGCCTCCCTGCTCTCTGGTACGGATGGGATGGAGGCCAGCCTTCCTTTCATCTACCTGCCATCAGTTAGTCCTATGGTCCACCCATCCATCCATCCATCCACCCATCCATCCATTCATCGATCCACCCACCCATCCATCCACCCATCCATCCATCCATCCACCCATCCATCCATTCATCCACCCACCCACCCTCCATCCACCCATCCATCCATCCATCCATCCATCCACCCATCCATCCATTCATCGATCCACCCACCCATCCATCCACCCATCCATCGATCCACCCACCCATCCATCCATCCATCCACCCACCCTCCATCCACCCACCCATCCATCCACCCATCCATCCATCCATCCACCCATCCATCCATCCATCCATCCATCCACCCACCCATCCATCCATTCATCCATCCACCCACCCTCCATCCACCCATCCACCCATCCATCCATCCATCCATCCATCCACCCATCCATCCACCCACCCATCCATCCATTCATCCATCCACCCACCCTCCATCCACCCATCCACCCATCCATCCATCCATCCATCCATCCATCCACCCATCCATCCACCCACCCATCCATCCATTCATCCATCCACCCACCCTCCATCCACCCACCCATCCATCCACCCATCCATCCATCCATCCACCCATCCATCCATTCATCCACCCACCCACCCTCCATCCACCCATCCATCCATCCATCCATCCATCCACCCATCCATCCATTCATCGATCCACCCACCCATCCATCCACCCATCCATCGATCCACCCATCCATCCATCCATCCATCCATCCATCCATCCATCCACCCACCCATCCATCCATTCATCCATCCACCCACCCTCCATCCACCCATCCACCCATCCATCCATCCATCCACCCATCCATCCATCCATCCACCCACCCATCCATCCATTCATCCATCCACCCACCCTCCATCCACCCATCCACCCATCCATCCATCCATCCATCCATCCATCCATCCATCCACCTGCCCATCCAACCATCCATCTATCCTCCAGACTTTCCATCCAATCATGTTATTCTTCCCATACACATGGATACACATATTCTGTGTATAAATTCATTAGTCTTAAGTCTGTCCATCTAACTATGTATTGATCCTTCCTTCAAACCATCCATCTAATTATCTACCCATCTATTCACAAATCCATCACTTTCATATAAAAAATCCATCTACCTATCTATCCACACCCAAATATCCATTTTTCCACCACTGATCTCATCCATCCATCCATCCATCCACCCACCCACCCACCTATTCGTGACCTAATCTTTCTATGCTTAAACTTATCCTTCTGCCCCACGGCACTGCTGAGTCCTCTCTCCACCCAGTCCCCACTCACCTCACACAGAGCCTCCCGTCTACCCCAATCTCTCCTCTGTTCATTCTTCTCACGCTCGTCCCCACGCACCCATCCCACGTGAGGAGCAAACAGAGGTGAGGGAAGGCGAAGGCCGTGAACTCTCCTCCTGTTCTGATGTTCCAGAAACCGGAAAGAGGCAAAGTTCCTCGCCTGAAGTCATCCATCAAACTCATACCAACATTCACTCAATCACATGTAACGACTGCTTGTTGGGTGGCACTTGAGGACACGGTGATGGATACTGTTCCTGGCTGTACACCAGGGTCTAGAGCAGTGATTCTCAAGAGGAGCAATCCGAGTGATCACTGCTGCCCCCCGAATGCTCACACAGATAACGAGCTGTGTACAGAGCCTCGGGCTTCCCGACCACCCTTAAAGGCCACCCGTGTCCGTCAATCCAGATTTGTGGTGCTGGCTGAGAAATGCACAATGAACAGAAAGCTGTGCCTGGGCTCCTACTCCTGATGATGCAGACGTCGGGAGCGGGGGCAGAATCTTGGAGGAGGTGGCAGCCGGGGTGAATGTGAAGAGGCGTGGCGTTGGCCATGCCCTGTTCCTGGAAAGGAGGCAGCTGGGGAGGGGGCTTCCTGGGCTCTGGGTAGGGCCTGTGAGGTGAGGGGAGCCTGCTTAGTGGAGGGATGAAGCTGAGTCTCCCTAGGGAGCGAGGAGGGTGCCCCGGACCTGCTTTTGCCCCTGTTTTGGAGTTGACTGGGGTCCCTACCAGTCTTGATGGCTGTCAGCTTGGTGCTGGCTCAAATGCTGTCAGACCTCACCCTGGGCCCGTGGGCCCACCGTCCTCTGCCAGCCCGAGGGAGCCTGGTTCCAGGCAGGAACCTCAGCTCTGTGGCTTTGTGGAACATCCTGGCCTCCATGTGAGGTGGGGAGTGGGAAGCAGGGATGGCGGCTGAGCCTGGAGTTGTGCTGGGGCCAGCTGGACAGTGGGCTGCAGCGGGTATTCTAGGAACTGGGCCACAGCCAGTTGGCAGATGCCCACAGGGAGGCCGGTGCATGCCCTGCCCCGGACTGGTTCCTCCAGCAGCCCGGCCTTGTCTTTGCTCCCATCCGCCCCAGCCCACTTGGGGGTGGTGACACCTGGCTCCAGATGGTAACCCATCAGGCCAAGGTCATGACAGTGGTCACCTTCATGGAAGGTAACTGGACACTCCCAGTGGAGTGGGGACTCAGGAGACAGAAAGACACGGTTCAAATCATACTTCTGCCGTGGAAAAGAGATGCCATCAGTAACAGTGCTGTATCTGGTCACTTCCTTGTTTTTATTTTTGGTTAATAGTGGTTGACAGATCTTTTGCCATCCCATATCTTTACCCTGCATTATTTTGCTTTTGGTGTGTGTGTTTGTGTGTGTGTGCATGTGTGTGTGTGTGTAGATCACATAGCTGGATTTATCTGATTTTTAACCCTAAGAGTCACTGTCTATTTAGAAAGAAATATAACCTATTCACATTTACTGGAGCCCCGGAATTGGCACAGAGTGGTACCTCCCTGGGATTATTTGCTCCTGGCATGACCAAAGGACCTTAGATTTTTATTCTTCCTGGTCCACTGTGCCCTCTCCATGGGCTCAGAACATAGAGGGTCCCTGTTGGTATTGGGGTTCTGTCCACAGAGCAAAGCTGCTCTGCATTCTGAGTGTGCGAGCAGGAAAGAGCTTCGGGAGCACCAGGCCAGAGCGCTGAGGGCCGAGGACAGACATCTCTCTCCCATGGCTCCTGGGGACGGAATCAAGGCATCTGTTACTCAATTCGGGGGTTAAAGGAGGCCTAGACTCGGCCAGGGGAGGAGAGGAGCAACCCATAGACCTGAGGGAAAGTCCCTACATGAAGGAGCGAAGCCGAGGCTGAGGCTACTAGGCTAGGTTTAGGCTTTTCGAGCACTAAGACAGGTTTCTGAAATCGACCCTGCCCCTCTTTTCTGTCTGGTCCCAGGCAAGTCACTTGTCCTCTCTGAGCTTCAGGTGCCTCTTCTGGGATGCCTGGTGCTGAGTCCTTTGTGAGTGGGGAGCCACCCCGCTGTGCTGTGTTGGCTGCCTGTAGACTTTACTTGGAGAGGAATAAACTGCTATTTCTATGAAGTCATTGTTATTTTGATTTTCTGTCACTCATATTCTTTTTTTGTCTTTTTCCTTTTTATTGGTATCGGGGATTGAACTCACGACTGCCTGCTTGCAAGGCAAGCCCTTATGCCGCTGAGCTAAATCCCCAGCCCCCCACTCATATTCTATTACAAGCAGTTAAAAATGCATCCTGTTGGGGCTGGGGATTTAGCTCAGAGGCATAAGTGCCTGTCTTGCAAGCCTGTGGTCTTGAGTTCAATCCCTGGTACCAGTAAAAATACAAAAAAAAAAAAAAAAAAAATGCATCCTGTAAATTCAGACATACCCAGTGTAAATCCTAGCTCTACCAACAGAGCCTCAGTTTCCCTATCTGTGAAATGGGTCTAATCGTGCATACTTCCTTTGTGCAATTCAGGAAGGAAATGCAGAGTGGATGTGACCCTACTTGGTAAAGGGTTTGCTTCATAATGATGGGCTGGTCAGTAACAGCTGCTGTTGTGGCCATTATAATTATTATCAGATTATTTCTTCCCTAGTTGCTCTATAAAAGCTGCGGCTCTTGTAGCTCTTTTTCCTTCTTTTTTTTTGTACTGGGGATTGAACTCTCGACCTCACGCTTGCCAACCAGGTGCTTATGCCACTGAGCTAACTCCTCAGCTCTCTTGTAGCCTTTCATGTGACACTTTGGGGACACATAGGTAAACATCGGAAGACCAAGACTTTGATGCCAGAAAGACCTGGGTTCCAATCTCGGTGTTGCCATTATCAGTTGTGCCCGAGCCTGGCCACCTGTCTGAGTCACCTCCTCTTTTCTCATGGCTCCCAAAGGGGTTGGGACACAAATCTCCATGGGGTTGTTTCGAGGTTCTGACCTGATCCCTTTGGGGAGGGCTGCGGGCATCCGTCCACGGAGGACTCGTGGACAGGGTGAGTATGACCAGCTCCTGTCTAGGCTCTTCCAAGAGCCACACCGCACACCGCGGCACGTCTTCTGGCCTAACTGGCCCTGAGGGGCGTTTAGGATGAGGGGAGAAAACCAAAGTTCCATTTAAAACAGCCAATCAATTTGCAGCAATCCCAATAAAAGCCATTAGATGTGGTTTCCCCACCGGAGACACCCAGGGGCCTGTTCCTCCGGCCTCCCAGGAAATTGATTGGCAATTACTGACACTAATGGGGGCCGGAGAGGCCTGGTGATTTCCCCGCCACTCCCTGGGGACAGTGATGACATGTCAAGATCTGTCAGGTTGAGTCCATCCTGGGCAGTCGGGACCCCCGATCTGGCCAGGGACCGGGCGGCCAGCTGGGGTCGAGCCCCCTTGGGACTTTCACCCCGTTACTTATTTATGGCTTGGTTTGCTCACGGTGAGTTAATGGTCCTGCTGAGGCTGTGCAGATGGCCAGTCCCAGGACAGCCGGGTAGGTGGGGGACGCGAGGTTTCCAGGCCTGCCCTTCGACCTGGATCTGGAATTGCACAAGGGAGAACTCGGTCCCCACAGGAAGTCTGGGAGCAGAGTGGGAACAGCAGGGTCACCAGAGAGGCCACTCCCAGAGTGGTGAAAGGTGAAAGCTGGAATTTCAAGGCAGGACAACAGGGCACAGAGACCAGCAGACACAGAGGCATCTGCTGGGACCTGCTGAACTGACAGAGCCCTGGGAAGCCACCCAGTTCCACTGTGTTCTTTTATAGATGCTTAGCAGCCAAGGGACAGAGAGGGGGAGGCACTTGCCTGGGGTCACACAGCACAGCTTGGGAGCTGCGGGCAGAGTCTGACCAGCTGCTGGCAAGCCGGGAAGTGAGATTCTTTCCAGGGACAGTTGCTCCAACACCCAAAGGCCATCCTGGAACCAGGAGACGGGGTTCCACTGACTAGGGAGGGAGCCAGGCAAGCAGGTGATGACGGTCAGAGTGACAAGCATGGGGACATGGTGCCAGCAGGCTAGGCAACCAGCCCAGGCTCGGGGAAGGGGTGGAGGCAGAACCCTGAATGGGGGATGAAGGGTTAGAAGACTGAGGCTGGGGAAGGGAGAGGAGGAGGCATTAGGCTGGGGCAGTGCAGGTGCACGCACAGGCGTCAGGCTGGGAGGACGCGGCCGGGCCTTCCTCGCGGGGTGAGCAGGAGTTCGGTTCTGCCCTGTGTGTGACCCGGGTGTGCCGGGCCCAGGCTTCCAGTTCAGGAAGATGGCTCTGGCTGCCAGAGGGAAGGGGACAAGGGGCTGATGGCAAGGTGGGGGCGCGGTGGGGAGGCCCCAGATCTAGGCTGGGGTGCGGAGGGGGCCTGCAGGGCCAGCGAATGCTAAGATGTTGGGAGGGACTGTGGACAGGGTGAGGAGTGTGAGTGCTTAGGGGAGAGGGCAGGACGGCTGGGTGGGGGTGGACGGGGAGCAGGCCGGGCTCGGCAGCCACTTGTGTAAAGCCTAAAGGACGGAAACGACAGCGTGATGACCCTGAATACAGGTGGGCGACGGGGTCCAGGGAGGGACAAAAGGGTCAGTGGCGCAAGGGAGGTGACAGACTGAGGCTCAGAGAGGCTGCGTGTCTCCTCCCAGGTCACACAGCCCTAAGGAAAGAACACACAACTCCGTCCACTCCAGCGGCCCTGCAGGGAGGGGACCCGCGGCTGGGCCCTTCCCACTAAGCACTTCCACGACCTAACGGCTGCTCCCCACCCAGCCTGAACCCATGGCTCTTGGGGCAGGGTTGTCCTGTCCCAGCTGCCTGGTTGGTCGCCCCCGACTATCACACGCAGTGGGATGGCCAGTCCGACGGAGGACACAGGACCTGAGAACTGGAGTCCGCCCGGGGCTCCCAGGGGAGAGCTAATGGGCTGGGCTGCTCTGAAGTTTCACGCTAGTGTCTGCCGAATGGGCATCCAGACCACAGCACAGCCGCCCTGTAACAATCCCAGGTGGCCCAACAGACAAACCCCGGATGCCCAAAGCACAGAGAGGGCTGGACACAAGGCTACTGGGCGGGATTATACAGAATATGTGGTTACAGAACTAAAAAAGACAGAAATTAGCATCATCTAGCAACATGTGCTGGTGCCAGGTGGGTGTGAGTTCTGGTGTTGCTGGGATACTTTCTAGCTGTGTGACCTTTGATGAGTTGCTAAGCCTCTCTGGGCCACATTTCATCTGGGAAACAGAACCATCGGTGCCTGCTTCCTCAGCTGCTGGGGAGGTACTCGATGAGCTGACACATGTTAAAAATAAGCAGAGAACTTAGCAGAGTTCAGGTGTAATGATGGTGCTTGGTGTGATGGTGCCCAGCTGCCACGGGTGGTTCCACAGCAGTGGTGTGGACAGAGCCCCAGGGTGACGGTGGGTGAGTCATGTGGGCAGCATTGCTGGGCACTGCGGTTTATACCCCTACTCCTGTCCCTCACTTCTGCTTCTGACTCTCCAAACCTGTCTGGGAGACTGGCAGCTTGAGTTATTACTCTGCTGTGTATGGGGGAAACTGAGGCTTGGGTGGGCTGGGCCATGGGCCTATCCTAGGCCATGCTGCAGGAGAGAGGCCCGGCCAGGCCATGGGTTTGTCTGACTCTCAGCTCCAGGCCTGGCCTGTGCAGGTGCTGTGGGGAGAGGGGATGGAGGAGGCCTGTGAGGTCAGAGGTGGAACAGCATTCTGGGCAGAGGGAACAGCCTGTGCAAAGCCCAGAGGAAGTAGCACCATGACACATGGGGGAGGAGGGAAAGGATGGGGGGATCTGGGTCAGTGACAGGGGATGGAGGTAGGGTGTGATAAAGCTGGAGCTGGTGACAGGGCAGGAAGCAGGCAAAGGACTATGGCCTGGGCTCTCAGGGCACATGGGTGGGCACGGGCGTCTTGGTCATTCTGACCTGCATGGCCCATGGCTCCTTCCCAAGTACTGGATACAGCCTTGGAGAGGTCTGGTGGTAGGCAAGCAGGAGGCCAGGTTCCCACCTGGATGGAGACCCCGAAAACTGTAGCAGCAGCAGTCAGGACACTGCTGACCAGCACAGGATGGGGTGTCCCCTGACTAACCCCACAAATGCCTGACACAAGATGGAAGGGGGACGGTTGGGCCTGCAGAACAGGCAGTACAGTGAATTCCAAATGAGGGGAAAAGAGGCCCAGAGAGGTTAAGTAACTTCCCCTGGGTCGCTCCACAAGTGAGCAGTAGGGCTGCATTCTAAACCCTGGCTTCCCGAGGTGACATCCACACAGCTCCTGCTCCTCTTCCCAGCAGACGCCAGAGCGGCCTGGTGGCTTCGCAGACAGAGACCTCAGTGAGAGAGCGGGGAGCTCACGCTGCCATCAGCCTCCCTGCAGCGTAGCCCAGCACCTTGCTGTCCTGCCGCATCAGGCTCCCCAAAGCCTAGAACACCGGCTTTTGTGCACGCCACAGATTCTGGAATCTTTAAACAGCCTTTGGAGCCTCGGAACAATCTCCAGGACTGACAAATTGCCTCCAAAACCTTCAAACGCCTTTGGAATCTTTGAACGGCCCTGGAGACGTGAATCCAAAGTGAGAGCCAAAGAGGCTGGGGGCCAAGGCCAGCCTCAGCCAGCCCGTCCTCCTGGGACAGGACGCAGCCCTGCCCGCGTGTGTGTGTGTGTGTGTGTGTGTGTGTGTGTGTGTGTGTGGGCAGCGGGAGGTGCCTCAGCCTTCGCCTTGACGGGTGACCTCGGATAAATCCCTTCCTTTCTCTGGGCCGGTTTCTGCTCACATAATGGGAATTGGGGAGGTTGTAGGGTATGTGGCCAAGCTTCGGGATTCAGACCCGGATTCCCAAGTCCAAGGGTGTGATCCATGGGGAGCCACCCACGGGGCAGAGGGGGGATCCCAGCCCCATCCATGCTGCAGACTTGATGCTGTCACTTCTCCTGGACTGGATTTCACCCGGGGCCCTCGCCCCCCATCGAGTGCCCCTGAGGGAGGCCTTGGGGACCAGGCCCGCATGGCACACAGCAGTACCCGGCAGCCTGCACTCGTGGCCTGGGAGGGCACACTGTTTCAGCCACCCAGCGCTGTCTCCATGGTGACGAGCACAGAGCTAACCTTTTGAAGAACACTCATAAAGGCGCAAACGTGCCCCAGATGAGCCGGCCTGCATCCGGGAGGCCAAACAGCTTAGGCCACGCTGTGCCTTGTAAACCACGCGGCCTGTGGCCTCGGCTGGCCTGGGTGGGGGTGGTGGAGAGATACAGCTGTACAGCTCTGGGCACTGGGCTGGGGGTGCCGGCTTCCTATTTCCCTCGTGTCCTGGCCATCCTGTCCAGTACACTCACCCCATCCTGGAAAGAGGCACCTCGCCGTGTGACCCGGAGGGAATGCGGTCATTCACCTCTCTGGCCTTGGTGCCCTGGTCTACAGAGGGCCGGAGGAGGCCACTCTGGGGCACCACAAGGGAGACTGTGGAGAGGAGGGAAAAGGCACCGCATGGCATCAAACACATGCCTGGTGGTGACAGTCTTTCTCCGTTTGTCCTGTTTTCTTGCCCGGGAGCACAGGGCTGCCTCCTCCAGGCGGAATCTGGCCTCTTTCTCCTGCTCTGGATGTGGACCTGGGCACCTGCTTCCCACTGCCCTGCTGAGCCACACTTGAGGTGGCCCCCAGCGATCTTCAGTAACGAAACACAGTCGTCCCTTGGGGATGCTCCAGGACTCCTGGGGGTACCCAAACCTACAGAGGCTCAGATCCCTGATACAAAACAGCAGAGCAACGGCACAGGACCCACACGCGTCCTCCTGCAGACACCAGACCATCGCTCGATGACTTGTAATTCCTGATAGAATGTAAACGCCACGTCAATTGTTGTTACATGGTATTGTTTAGGGAGCAATCACAAGGAAAGAGAGTCTGTACATGTTTGGTACAGATGTAATTTTCCCTCGAATATTTTCCATCCACGGCTGGTTGAATCCACAGACGTGGGCCCCGTGGGTCCACAGACAAGGTGCTGACTGCAAATACAGGCAAACAAACACATGGGGGATGACAGCTTCTAAACCTCAGAATGGGGGGCACGGGCTGTGGGGGTGATGCGGGCAGATGCGGGGTAGAGGGTGGTACAGGAGCATGGAATGGAATACATACGGGCGCCCCTCTTCACCATGATGTTGTCCCAGTGGGGCCACCGTAAGCTGGAAATGGCACAAGCCACAGATGCATTTAATGCACCAAAGCCACCGAACACCCGCTCAGGGACACTCCCGCCCAGAGTTCCCGGGATCTGCCCTCTGTGATCAGGGCTGCACTTGAGGTGGCCCCCAGCGATCTTCAGTAAAGAAGCTGCAGGCCCCTCAGGTGCCCACCAGGAGGTCAGCCTCCTGTGGCCGGGGCCCCTTATTCTTCCCAGGGAGCAGGCTGCAGCCTGGAACAGGCATTGTGCTGCTCCCACCCGAAGCCTCTGGTCTCTAAGAGGCTACTTCATCTTCTTGTCTCCCCCTTCTGCCTCCCTCAGCCCACCGGACACTTCCACACCTGGCTCCAAGGTTGCCGAAGTGTTACACCCCAACAGGCAGTGCCCCAGGAAGACAAAAAAGATCCAGGGTCTGAATTCTGGCCCTGCAGCTTAAGAGCTGTGTTACCTATAAAAAGTCACTAAACTCTTCTGAGCCTCGGTTTCCTTACCTGGAAAACAGGAGCCGAGGACCTGCCTGACAGGTTACCTTGAGGATGAGGCCAGTTGGCAGGTGTGGTCATGTTTGTAAACAAAACAGTACTAGGTAAGGGATTGGATTTAAAAAGATTATAATGAATTGTCAGATTGAACCGTGACACAAATACATAATACAATACGCCTAATTAAATAAGTTGCAAACCATCAATTAGAGGCTACTAGATGTCAGCAGTTAGCTGGCGGCACACAAAACACAGATTAAGCTCCTCGGCGAGGGTGGCCATTGGTCATTCATTTGTTTCTCTCTGTCCATTCACCAAATCATCGATCTGGCCATCCAACCAACTCCCATCAAACACCTGCCAGGCGCAGGTTGCTTGCAAAGCCTCGAACAGCTGGAAACAGCCACCCATCACGCCCACCCACTGTGAAGATCAAAGCCAGCGACTGCTTATGAAGCCCCAGTGATACCAGGCTGGTCCCCAGCCCTTTGATCCTCATGACTGTCTCCGTGCCCATTTTACAGATGAGGAGGCTGAGGCCAGGATCCAGTTCAACCCAGATGCCCGGTGCCACATGCTTCTCACTGTGACTGTCCCTGAAGTGCCCCGCTCCTGCTCCTTACAGGCACCTTCTTGGCAAAGTAGATTTTTGTTGCTGTTTTGGCAGTGCTGAGGCTGTAACCCAGGACTCTGTAAATGCTAGGTAAGTGCTGTAGCACTGAGCCACGCCCCAGCCCCTGGCTCTGCGCAGCCCCAGCTTTTTCCAGAGGTCCCTCCAGCTCAGCTGGCAGCTTAGGCACCTCTGGTACCACTCCCTCCCCACCACAGCTTTGTAGGCTTATAATTTCCATCTCCATCCAGCCCTTAGTGCTTTTCTCACCAAAGGTGTGTGACTCAGGGGCACTGACTGGTGTCCAAACCCACTATGATGTCATGCTTCTCCCCAGACCACAGAAGGAGGTGAGACAAATGTCCAGTGGCTCAGGGAGGGAAGTAACCTGCCCCCAGGTCACACAGCTACACGGGGCAGGGCTGCAAGGCTCATCCCACCAAGCCCAGCATCCAAGGAGGGTCATCTCACCACTACAAGGACAGACAGGCTTGGGGGCACTGGACCGAGAGTGTCCAGTGCGGGGAAAAGCCATTTCCTTTCTGCCTGGACCCGATATCCTATGTATGGGGCAGGTGACCTGCTGTCCTGACCCACTGGGGTCAACCAGGGAGAAGGGCTCAGACACAGAAGTGCATGGAAAATTTGGGTCCAGTGTAGGGGTCACAGGTGTTGGAGCTGACCCCTGACTTGGTCTCCTAGGCTCGTGGTGCCCAAAGCACGGGATGGCTGAACCCTCCCTCAGCCTAGCAGCAGAAATGGGACAGGGCTTGGGTGATGCATGTTCACACCCAGGACTCGGAAGACTTCATCCATCCAACCCTTCTCAGCTTACAGGTGAGAAAATGGCGGCTCAGAGAGGGCAAGGGACTCGCTCTGGGTCACACAGCCAATGAGTGGTCAAGCTGAGATCAGACTTTGTTTCTTCTGACTCCCTAGTTTTGCTTGGTGTCACCTGACCCCACTGGAACAGGGCATTGCAATAAGCAGGCCACTAGTGGTCAGAGCGCTGAGTGAGCTTGGGGAGGAGACGAGGCTCTGTCCTTCTGGGATGTCTGAAAGTCCCCCGTGAGAGCTGACTTTTCCCAGCATTACCCTAGAGTAACAAGGACCAAGTGACGACTCAGCAGAGACTTGGTGACCAGTAATCACAAAGTGCTTGCTGGATTGGGGTGGAGAGGTTGGCAGGTGATTTCCTGCCTGGGCAGCTCTGCTGGGGTTGGGCTGTCCCTGAATGGCCGTGGTCCCTGGAAGCCACTGCATCCCTGCCCCACCCACCCCCAGCTGGAAACGCCTGAGAAAGGGATGCCCGCACCCCTGTGTCTCAGAGGACTGTGGGTACAGAGGCGCATGGTGACCTCTGGTTCTGATCCTTCTTTGATTTGGGGAGAACCAAGGCCCAAAGAGAAGTGTGGATGTGATGCTCCCAGAGGGCAGCAGGAGGGCCTGGGCATCTCAAGGGCCAAGTGCTCATCTTGACCCCACCTTCATAGGGCCCAAGGACAGGGTCCCTGCTGTGTGGTATCAGCAGGCAGCCTTCCTGCCTTGGGCATGGCGGGTGGCAGCAATGACTCGGCTCCCACGTCCTCGGCCTCTTCTCCGTGGCTGGTGCCCAGGTCCCCAGCACAAAGCTACTGAGCTCAATCCTCTTATCAGACTCCCGGGCAGACAGTCCCAGCCCCTTCCTTAGCATGCAGAGCACCATGGTGTCAAACCTGAATTCTTCACCTGGAAAGTCCCCTCTTTACCTGCAGACTCCTAATCAGACCTCAGGCTCAGCACTGGGGTGTGTCCAATGCCACCTTCGGAAAAAATTTAAGAGTGCCAGACTTTCTGGGCTCACATCTGCACCACATGATCTCTAGAACATCTCTCAGCACGCAGCGGGGCTTGGCCTACAACTCTGTGCCTGGTACAGAGTAGGTACTGGTGTACACTGGGTCTCCTCTTGCTGTTGGCACAGCCTAACACTGTGCCTCACATGCTGTGCCGTGCACCCCAACACAGGAAGGGGGCCTGGCCTATGGCAAGAAACAGAACATTGGAGTCGGACCATTCTGGGTTCAAATTCTGCTTCCTGGAATGACCTGGGAGATGTCTGCCCATCCTACCAGGGTCAGTTTCCTCTGTTGCAAAATGGAATAATTACGTCTGCTTGAGATGATTGAATCTTTTGCAGAGTATTTAACAAAGTAAAAAGCCTGGCACATAGTAAATACTAAATAAATGAGCAAATATATATATAATAAGTGGTCTGGAATTAGCATATCATACACTATTAAGAATGAATAAAGACTGCAGGGCCCTGGAAACTTGCCTCAGGCACCGATCCCTTAGAAAAACATCTTAGGAGGGTTTTGTCTGATCATAGACATCTCTGCACCCCGGCCTAAGCTCCATTTAATTGTCTCGCTCTGAGGGTGCCGGGTAAATACTCCAGGCCAGCTGGTGCCTGGAAACTGCCAACTGCCGGGGAGCAGCTCGTTAATTCTCTGGTGTCCGCACACAGACTCCGAAGCTTCTGCAACTCATCTTGGGAAATTGAGTGGAGCGGGTCAGGCCAGGGCCATGGGTCACAGGAAGTGGGGCTGGAGGTGCCAGGGGACTTGAAAGGGCCTGCAGAGACACCGCGGGAAGCCATCTAGGCTGGAGGAAACGGGCCCAGAGCTGCGGAAAGGCAGATGGATCCCAGGCCTGGCTGGGCCCTGCCAGCTCTGACTCAGCTAGGATAAGACCAAGGCAGGACCTCGCAGTGAGGCTGAATGCACAGCCGGCAACTTGGCCGGCTCTGGGGTCCACAGGTTCCACGTGAGCAGAGGAGCCGCGCAGGACATGGAAATTGAAAGTCCGGCTCCTGGCCTTAAACCCTTGCTTGCAACTTCCTGATGTGCCTCAGCTTCCCCTCTAAACCAGGAAGAGGAACAGGGTGTGCTGACACACAGCTGTAATCCCAGCACCTGGGAGGCTGAGGCAGGAGGGTCACAAGTTGGAGGCCAACTTGGGCAACTTGGTGAGTTCAAGGCCACCCTGGACTTATTGACACTGGGTTTCAAAACCAAACCAAACCAAAATGAACATGGGAAGATCAAGAATATCACTAATGTCATAGGGATGTCACAGAAATTAAATACTTGTGAAGAGTTGAGAACTGTGCCTGATACACAGAAATCACTTGTAAATGTTCAGTTATGACTATGGTCCCTTCCCCCAACTTTGAAAGTATGCTATTTGGACATCTGAAAAATCTGAGTTCTGGACTTGACCAGGGTGCATGTAAGTCTTACCACATGTGTGGCTCTGAGGAGTCCTCAGGGGCACTTCTAGACTGAGCGGAAGAGTGATGTGATTGATTGGTGATGCCTGCACAGGGTCTAGGAAGGGAGCCAAGCAGTGAGTGGGCAGGCCTTGCCCCTCCCATCCTGAGATATTTCATATATTTTGCAGATACTTACTGAGTCACTGCTCTGTGCTGGGCACTGGGATAGGTCTGGCATATAAAGGTGAGCAAAGCAGTCAGAAGCCAATGTAGTAGTGTATGCCTGTAATTCTGGCTCCTTTAGAGGCCGAGACAGGAGTAAATTTCAGGGCAGCCTGGAAAAATCAGCAAGGTCCCATCTCAAAGTTAAAAGGGTTGATGATGTGGTACAGCCCTTGCCTAACCCTGGTTTTAATCATCAGCAAACATAGACATAAAAGACAGACAGACAGATGACAGAGAAACAATGCAGGCAGTTTCCTGATGCAGCTGTGCAGGAAAAGGAGTGAGCACACTGCTGCAATCATAGGGAAGCTGGGTCCCCACTACGTCACCTCTGTCCCCACACCTACCCAAGGGCACACTGACACCTTTCCTACCTTAAGCGCTCATCTTGCAGGAATTTGCATTTCTTTTGCACTCCTGGCCTCTAGCTAGAAAATCCCTCTTGTCCATGGTCCTCTCTTTTTGAGGACAACTCTTGATGTCCTGGGAAGCATTTTTCCTGCAGGCAGCTGCCCTTCCTCGTGCTGCCGTGACAGCCAACACTATGGGGCCAGCCCTTACCAGCGCTGCAGCTGTGCTTAGGGCTGGGACTCCCAGGGGCCACAGCCAGGGCTTCTCCATCCCAGGAACCAGAGATAGCTTGGCCCATGACACAGCTCAGTCCACACGGCTTCAGGGCGGGGAGCCAGACCAGAAGAGGACCTTCGATTTCCAGGAGGGTGGGCTCCTCAGCTGCACAGGTCCAGCAGGTCAGCATGTCGACCTTAAGAGCTGGTCCTGCCACTTCCTAATCATGCTTGTTTCAGGGCCATTCCCAGCCTCTGCCTCTACAATGGGCACATTGGAGTATCAGGGTAGGCAGGGTCACGAGGACCTTGGCACACAGCAAGTCCTCAACCCTATTCCCCTCTCCCTCCTTACCTAGTAGTATCCAGAGCCAGTATCTGTGCCCTTGCAGTGCCAGCTGGAGCACAGGTCCTGGGAGGACACAAAGGCAGAGTCCAAATGCCAGAAAGCAGGCCCAGAGGAGACAGGGGAGGAAGGAAAGGGAGACTCTCCCAAGGTGCCCCCGCTGGACCTGGCACCCGCAGAGCTCCTTAGCAGTAGGACCCTGAGCTCACATGTGGCCCCTTGCCGCCCGCCCTGCAGGGAAGTGTTCCCGCGCGCTTGGTGCCACAGCCGGAGTGCTGGTAATAAAGGCACCTCTGTGTGTCTCTGGGGAAGCGGGACTGGGGGTGGCGGCGAGGGGGGGCCCACAAAGCTCCCGCAGCTGTGTGTTTGCAAACAGGGGAGCTGAGCTGTGCAGAGGGGCTGAAAGCACTAATTGTCTTTAATTAAAGGAGGTTGGAGGCAGCGCAGGCTTTGACAAAAGAGATTTCCAGCCTGTTAGCAGCTTCAGCCTGCGCAGGGGCTGGGAGGCCCAGGCGCGCCCTCTGCTTTGTCCCTGTGGGGCCTGGCCCTGTGGAGGGCACAGCCAACACCTGCCTGGTGGGGGTGGGGACAGGGTGGCAGGGGCTGAGCCCACGCAGTAGGACTGAGCTGAGAGAGACGGGTTCCTGGGCCGTGACGGCTCTGCTCATGCACGCACTCAGCAAGCGTGTCCGGCCAGTGCTCAGCGCTGGGGTATGGAAATGTCAGGCCTGTGTTTCAAGGACTTTACTAGAGGCACCACCAGCATGGACACTGGTGTGCAGAAATCACCCTGTCCCCATTAACCCAGCGCTACCTTCTCCCCTCCTCTCCATCAGAAAGCATCCTATTTGGACATCCTCCTCTGCAAAATACAAGCAACCCCAGCTGGCTTGGGCTTGAACCCTCGCTCTGTAGCTTGTTAGTTGAATGAACCTGAACAAGGGACTTCCCACCCCATGCCTCAGTTTCCTATCTTTCAAAGAGGATGCTAAAACAGCACATGCTTTGTAGGATGGTGCGTAGCATCATGAGCTATCATGCCACGTTCACACTGGGCACTTCACAAGTGCCCATGGCCATTATTTATTCCTTCAATTATCCAACTGTACACCCGGGGAGAGTCTCCGAAGGCCTCCAATTATCTGGAGAACCCTGGTCTCAATGGCTGAGTTCCAGTCAATTGTTCCATTCCCCCAGCCTCAGTTTCCCCCTCTGAACAATGAGGGCTGGTTATGATGGCCTGGGAGGTGGCATCTGTAGCTGTGGACATGCTTAACACCCCCTACAGCCCTCGTGCACTCTGGGAAGCAGACTCCTCTGCAGAGCAGCCTCAGCCTCCCTGGGCTCCTGCTCTCTGATGCATACAAATGGGCCAGCCGCCCACCCCAGTCTTTTGTTTTCTTGCTCACCAGGCTCACCTTCAGACACATCTGCAACGCCCTAAGCAGGCATAAGCACATGCTGGTGAGCACCCTGTACACACACACACACACACACACACACACGCATGCTCCTGCCCGATTCTCACCCTCACCCCACCCTACCTGATAGACTCACAGCTCTCCCACCTCTATATGCACTTAAAGGCTTGATGACCCTAGGTCCAGCTGTCCACAGTGTCAGATCCCTGGATTCCCTCAGTCCAACTGGCTGGGTAGGGGCAGCGGGACAGGTGGGAAGAGGGCTGAGAGACCTGGCCACCAGAGGAGGGACAGGTCTGCAGTGTGAACGCTGGAAGCACCATGGAGGATCGGGAGGTGTTTACCCGCTGTCCATGCTGGGCCCTGATGAGGACACTGAGATTCAGAGGTTGAGTGTGGCCTGAGGCACAAATGGGGTCCTGCCAAGCCACAGCATGACTCTTTCCTTCAGAACCAAAAAGCCAGCCCCCAGTGGCCAGTGTGTGGCCCAGATGACAGGTGGATGATATGGGCTTAGAGGTAAGCGGTTTGTCCCATACTTGCAGGATTCTAACCTTGAGGGAGGGGCAAGGAGCAGAGAAAGTATGTGAGATCCCCAGATAAACATGAGCGCACAGGTCTCTGTTACAGCTTCATGAGGCTCTGGTCCAGCTCAGGACCAATGGCCTCCAAAGCCTCTGTGGACTGGCTTCCCCAGGGCCCCTGACTTTGGCCTCCCAGTCTGCCCTAACTGACCTCAGGGGCACATGGGTTCTGATCACAGCCCAAGCAGCACAGCCAGAGCCCAAGGTTAGGGGACTGTCCGCTCACTCACCTCCATTGGATACTGAGTGTCCTGGGGACAGAGCCCTGGGACACCTGGTGGGACGTGGTGTGCCTGGCCAGTTTCAGCTCTCTGAGCCTCACTCTGGGTCCTTCTGGGGCCTGTCTTACAGGGAGAAAACCGACACTCAGAGGCGGAGGCCCTGCCCATGGCACAGAGGGGTCATGAACGGGCTGGGGCGGGGCTGTCAGAGGATGCACGTGCAGCCTAGATGCTGGCCTGGGACAGGCTCTGCAGGCACGGAGGCTGTGGTGCACCCAACACCCTGTGGGGGGCCTTGCTTTCTGACTCCAATGTGACCCTTGCATGTGTGGGTTCCCCTCTCCAGCCCACAGCATACCCAGGGCATAAGGTCCCCTTGGTGCTGAGGGAAGAGGAAGGGAAAGGGGCTGGAGAGACGGGAACAGGGTGCAGGGAGGAGAGAGGAGGCAGAGAGGGGCACAGAGCAGAGTGGCTGAGGCAGATTCACCAAGAGAGGAGAAGGAAGGGGAGAAGGGGCGGGGGGAGATGAGAGCAGGGAGGAGGTAAAAGGCAGGGGCGAGAGTTCAGAGAGTGTCACAAGGCCCCAAGGGACCGGACTCTTCCTGAGCAGGAAAGGGGAGAGGGAAAGGAGGGGGCTCCTGTGCCTCTGCTGTCCCTGCCCAAGGTGCCAGCTGTGGGGGAGGCTGGGTGAGAATGTGTGAGTGGGTCTGCACGCTGCGAGCGTGTTTGGAGTGTGAGTGGGTGTGAGTGTGTGTGTTCAGGCCCAGGCGGGTGTGGGCAGTAGGGCAGGGTGTCTTTTCTTTCTCTCTCCAGAACAGAGCTGCAAGATTAATTCATATTTAATACAGTCTCCACTGGCAGGATGGGGGCGGTTTTGGAGAAAAGGCACTGGGTAAGGAAGAAATGGTCCATGGACTGATTGGTTTTTATCCATCCATCCACCACCCATCCATCCATCCATCCATCCATCCATCCATCCATCTGTCCATCCATCCCATCCACCCATCACCCACTGAGCAGCTACTGCACGCCAGGCATAGTGCATTGAGAAGACCAATAGCTCAATAAATGCTTGGGTCCTGTGTGTAAATGCTGGCTCAGGAAAGTAACATGCACCGCAGCCCTGGACCGGCCCTTCTGCTCCTGGAACCTCTTTTCTCACCTGTCAGATGGGTGGTGATGCCTGCTCTCCAGGGTGGGTGAAGGCGACCCGGAAGGTGCCCAGCTCTGCTAGAGAAAAACAGGCTTTCTAATGGCACCAGGGCCTCCCAAACATTGATCCACTCTGCAGTGACTCTTATGGGAGACCCGGAGCAGCCAAACACTGCCAACTTGGCCAGCCCTGCAGATGGCCACAGCTGTGCAGTCCCGCTGGGCGCCAGGATGGGTGGCCCTGCCCAGGCCTGGCAGCTGTGGAATGAGCATGGGGAGGGGTGGCGGGAGCTCCGCCCCAAGATGCCCCACAGTTGCCCTGGCCCTCAGGACCCAAATATCCAGGGCTGCCTCCAGCTAATTATCTGTTTCTGGCAGGTCTCAGCTCAGAAGCCTCTTCCTCCAAGCAGCCCTCTAGGACTCCTGGGCTGGGTACAGTCCCATCTTCACCTCCTAAACCCATGGAGTCCTTACCCCTCTTTCTCAGGATCCCTCTGCATCAGGATCTCTTGTCTCCCTCCACTATGAGGTCCTGGAGGCAGGGCCACAGCCGACGGGCACAGGGCTTGGCACACTGCGGAGCCACTTCTGAGGGCTGGGGGCACAGGTTGAGTGTCTGACCATATTCTGTCTGGTGCTGATTTCCCCAAGGGCGCTAAGCCACTTCCCCAGACATCATATTTCTCCCTGGAAAGGGCATCACTTGGTCCAGGGGGTTAGGGCGAGGTCAGAGTGATGGGTGGGGAGGACAAGACCCGCTGCCATGGCCTGCCCTTGTGCCCTTAGCCGGACCGTCCTCCTCCCTGAGCCTCAGTCTCCTCAGCTGTAAACCAGGAGGGTAACAGTCACAGTGGTGGCAGAGGGGGAGTGTGCAATTTGGCCTTAGGGTGGTGGCTCTGCTGAGGTCAGGGGCAGCCCCTCCCCACTGCCTGGGCTTCCCTCCCACAATCACACAAAACTGCTTTTGCAAATGAAGCTCCTGGATAATACCCAACCCCTGCAATCACAGTGACCCCCAACCCCCCTCCCCCATGGAAATTCTGGTCCTCCACATCCCAGCAGGTTACCTTGAGCTTGGCTGCCAGCTCTACCCGCATACCTCAAACGGGGTGCAGAATAATCTGAGAGGCCACCACTTCCCACAAGCACCCCCTAGAGGTAGGAGGTGGCCCACCGCTTGCCCAGGCAGGCCCCCTCCCCCACTTCCCTATCTGCCCTAGGCTGGATCCAGCGCTGAGCAGCCCCCTCTTCCCTCTCCCTCTGCTGGGACGTGACATTCACCAGCATCACTTCTGGTCCCATCTGCAGAGCGCCCCACCCCCGGCAGCTAATCCCCACAAAGCCCCAAGCAGGGCCCAGCATGACAAGCAGGCCTGCACTGCTGGCAGCTCGGCCGAGCGTGCTTGGAGGGGCCGAGGCGGGATTCGGCGGCTGTCACTCTCTCCGTCCGCGCATCTAATTGGATTCCCAACACGCAGAGGTCAGCAGAAACGCTGCAGAGAGGAGAATCAAAGGGAAGGGGCGTCTGGGAGATAAAGAGAGGCATTCTTCCCGGGCCACAAAGACTGCAGCATGAGGGGGCGGAGGGGACCCCGCAAGGGGCTGCCCATCTGGAGGGGGAAGGGAAGGAGAGTGAACCTTAGTGGAGGCTGAGGGCCTTGTCCTCTAGGCTCCTGCATCCACCTCTACACACTCGGGCCCTAGGCCCAGATGCCATCATCCCTGCCTGTTGCCCCAGGGGTCTGGCTTGGCTCCTGCCATTCCAGGGAGCATTCTTGGAATGTGGGGGCAGGCTCAGGAGTCAGTGGGGACCAGGTTCCCAATCTTGGCCTTCAGTCTGCACCCTGTGAGATTCAGCAAGTCCTTGCAGTGTCCTGGGGCTCAGTTTTTAGTTGGTGGACTGAGGATAACACCAGCTGCTGCGTGGTGCAGTGGCGAGGTATTAAATGAAGGGACAAAAAAGTACCAGGAGCAGAGGACCTCGGCAGGGACAGCTCAGAAGTGGCCCTTCCCAGGCTGTCCCATGGCCTGCTTGATGGACTCGAGCCTCCCTCTGCAGAAGGCAAAGGTGCGCAATAAACATCACACCTGGACCCAGGACAGGCAGAGGGTGGGAGCTGCCACCCTGTGCTTGTGTGGCAGACAAGAACCCGAGACTTGGAAAGATGGGGATGGTGGGGCCACGTGGCTAAAGACCAGCAGAGCCTGGCTGGCTGCCTGGCCAGAGACCTGTGCCCCTGCCCAGCCCTCAGGAGTCCCTGGCCCCCCTGCACCTGGTAAGCAAGTGTGGCTTGTATGCGCTCCTGAGCACAGCCTCTGGGCAGTGGGCGGGCCAGGGACAGAGAGCTGCATGGCAGAACGGTCCTATGTCTTTAAGGACGATGGATCTGCTGACTCTGGTTCATGAAAGGACAAGAAGAGGACCTCAAAGGAAATATCTAAGAGACAGAAAATCAATGGCTCTGACATCCTGGCCTCCAGAAAGTGTGTGTGCCTGTGTGTTACTAGCATGCACACATCCACACATGCGTGCTTACAAACAGCCATTTTCACGTGCACATATATCTGCCTTCACACAATATCCATGTACATGCAAACACAGTTTGGCTGATCCCCTGGGCGCCTGTGCAAACACATACCAGTGACCCAATGAATGTGCTTACACCGTGGTGGCAGATACACCAAGGACAGATGGGGACCTCCACACGTGGATGGATGCGTGCACACATGTTCCTATCCATACACTTTGGTGGCTGATCCAGCACACATCAGTGTGCTCCTAGCTGCACACAGGTGTACAGGTGTGCCAGGGAGGCACAAAAGCACACAAATGCTGGAACGATTCACAGTGGGCTCTGGAGTGACCTGCACAGGAACAGGCATGCACAGTCTACCTGGAGATGTATGTATATGCTCATAGGCCCAGAGATGTCCTGACATACAGAGGCCAATCCATCAGCACATGTGTGTACACACAGGCTCACAAACACACTTCCAGCAAGCCCAGCACACACGCACACGCACACACACACGCATAAGAGAGATGCTCTGTGCTGACCTGCACATCCGTGTGCATTGCTCTCAGGTCTCCAGGGATTCCCTCAGACAGACAGCTCTGACAGCGGGGTGTGGTGGAGAGCGGCAGGCCTGGGGTTGTCAGGGATATGTATTGGGGGGGCTCCCAAGGCTACACAGCTTGCCCCGGCAGCACACAAAGACCCACAACCACCCTTAGGCCTTCGAAACACTGCTAATTGGATGGTGACGACTTTGAAGGCGGAAACTAGAAGCTTGAGTCTGGTTTCCTAGAAGGAGTCAGAGTGAGGCTTGAGAAGTCCCTGGGGCAGAATCTAAGGTTGACACGAGGCCTTGGGCCCAAAGTCTCCTGGGAACATAGGGACAGAAATAGCTCTGCATGGTCCCTAAGCCCTATCCAGGCCACATATTATGGGCCATCAGACAAGTTGTGTTCATAGCCACTTACAGCACGGCCTGGAGCAAGTCTCTTGCTCTCTCTGACTAGTTTCATTTACCAAAGAGGATGGTTACAACACTGAGGCGGTTGATAGCTAATTTCAGGCTCCTGTCATCAGAGCTAATATGCCAAGTCCTGGTCCAAAACCTTCCCTTCCATTACCTCCTTGAGTCCTCACAACTCACCCTGTACCATTCCATTTACTATTCCACCCATTTTACAGATGAGGAGATCAAGGCTTTGGAAGGTGAGTTACCTGCTCAGAGTTGCATGGGTGCTAAAAATTGGAGTCAGTATTAGAACCTAGGAGAATGGCTCTCATCTACATTGCTAAACCTTTTTGTTACTAGACACCTGGGCTATGGCAGGCAACCTGGTATCAGATGGTCACGGCTGCCCTAGTGGCCTCTCAGGAGGCTGCAAGAAACAGGTAGGACAGAGCCAGAGGCTGTTAGTACCTAAAAGCCATGGTATAAATGGTGACAGTGAGATTCCAGGAAGGGAGTTAGGGGGTTAATACTCTGCCAGGGTCAGGTAAGCAGGTAGCAGAATCCAAATTTGGACCAGGGATGCTAAACAGAAGCACCCTGGCTGGTTCAAACTTGGCTCAGTATCTGCACAGATCTGGGCACACAGTGGGTCTCCCCCACTCCTAATGATAGAAATGTTCCCATAGGAGGCTCTGGTCTGGGACCACAGGGCAGGGATCTGAATTCCACGGGAAGGAGCAGGGCTGAAAATCACATTTGTTCCTGTAACAGATGAACATGAATCAAAAATGCTTTCTGAGGCCACCATATCCAAGAAGGATTTGAGAACATATGGGAAACCCTGTCAAGGATAAAGATCCTCTATCTGTACCTAGAAGCATCTGTCCCATCCACAGACAGATTTGCTCAGCATCCTGGCCATGCCAGTCCCTCGGGAGCCCACCCTCCCTACAGGTGGCACAATGCACCCTGAGCCTCTCCGAAGGCCTGCGTTAGCAGTGTTACTCCCCTGGGGTGGACGGGCCTGATGGCCGAGGCAGGAGTGAGGACTCTGCGGTAAGTATTCACAGAGTGCCTTCTAAGAGCTAAGTACCATCCCAGCGCGAAACAGACCGAAATGTGTGCCCTGGTGGAGCCTATGCTGCGGCCGGGGAAGACAGCAGCAGAGGGATGCTCTCAGACATACACAGTACATCAGCTGGTGACAGGATGACAGAGAGAGGGAGCGGGGAAAGGGATGGGATGCTCGCCTGCACAAAAATGGGCTGATCGGAAGCCTCAGTGAGATGACACTAGGCAGAGACCCGGAAAAAGCTTGGAAGCAATCGATGTGGCTATCTGAGGAAGAAACATTCCAGGCAGAAGAAACAGCCCAGGAGGCCGCCAGCTACGACAGGGAGGTAGGAAGGAAGTGGACGGGGACAGGCACAGAGGTGGGGAAGAACCCGGCGTGGGGGGCTTCAGGGGCTGCCTTGGGGACCTGGGCTTTTGCTCTGCTGGCTCTGTGTGGAGTGGGGAGCCTCGGGGGTTCTGAGCAGGCAAAGTATCCCAAAGAGCCCTCTGGTTGCAGCTTGGGGAGAGACTAAGCAAGGCAGGGGTGGCCAGCAGGCAGGTGGGTGGTGATCTGGACTCCAGAGAGGAGGCTGGGCTGGAGATGATCCCAGAGGAGGCCTTTGACACCATGGGACAGGAGGGCGTGAGCCAGGCACAGGGAGAGGAGAGGCTAAGGACTTGGCACGGGGCGTCCCTGGTGCAGAGGGAGGGAGACGAGCAAAATCACCATAAAGCATCCAGGAGGGGCTCCCAAAGAGATATGGTCACAGGAAAGGTATGGTCACCTTGTCACATGCTACGGCAGGCCAGGGGAGCGTCCACTGCCATGTCAACATGAACATGGTGGCCTGGGTGATGAGTGAGGGGACAAAAGCCTGGGAGAATGGGTTCAGGACAGGTTAGGAGCAGGAGCAGCAGCAGGGGCCACCAGGTAGAGCCCAGGCTGGGGAATCAAGCCACCCAGGGACCCCATCTGAGTCCCGGCTCTGTCCCTTCCTAGCAGTGAATGTTGGGTGGATCATCCCACCTTGTCGAGGCTTAATTTGCTCCTCCAGAGAATGGGGATAATACCCCTTTTACCTCCAGTGTTGTTGAGAGTCATATGAGATAAAACTGTGGAAAAATTTACTAATGATGAAATTGCAAACATTCCAGCGGGATGGGCGCAGGTCTTGGGTTTCATTTCTGACTCCACCTCCCTTTACCTGTGAACTTGGACTGGTTACATAATTCTCTGAGCCTCTCCTGCCTCTTCCATAATGCCTGACTCGTGGGGATCCCAAGGATTCAGCAAAGCAGAGGCCTAGAACATAGTGAACACTCAATCGATGTGTTCTCTTCCACTCTGGACCTCTCATCTGTGGTTTCCAATGTGTAGTTCACGACGAGAGCCCAGCCAGAGTCAGTTGGAGGGGACCCTGCGGTCGAGTCCAGGCCTCTGGGAGAGTCATTGTTTGAACTTCCTTGGCCCTCAGTTTTCGATGCCATGCAGTATCAGAGG